ACTCGCCATTAAGCACCATCAAACTCATTGATTTTGTCAATAATAAAAATTTAAATCAAACTTTACTTAAATTATTTCTGTCAACTTTCCTAAAAATTGTAAATTTTGACTGAATTCGATAAAATTGGCAATACTTACTCTTGTTAATGTTCACACACTTTCAAAAACCTTAATTTATTCATTTCTAATAATAAAAACTGAAAAAAGAAAAAGAATTTGTAAAATTAATTTATAAAACATGGCGGGCCCTATTTTGTTTTGAGTAGTTTATTTAACTTTAAATTGTTTTTATTAGTCAATTGACGCTATATTACTGATTTTTGCCTGCGCATATTTTTGGTGATAGTAGTTTCTTTCCTATAAATAATAACATTTCATGATGATTGACTACCTACTTACGGTGTGGAAGCTAAACTAACAAATAAACACATTCACTTTCGCATTTGTAATATTAGGTAAGGATACCTACACCTATTTTATTAAGAAAACTAAGAATGATAGAATAGAAGACTAATTACGTAATAATCGTAAGTAATGGAGCTGGACAGAAATATTGATGATGGCGAGGTTCCAGGAGGCAGCGCTTCACAAAGTATGGTGGTGTTTAAAATATTTGTATTTATATTTATTTATATATAACATTTTTTATGGAAAAACCTTTTGATTCTTCCTTTTTTTTACAGGATCAAGAAAGGCTCGTCAACTCCGATGATGATTGGCAGTCTAGTCAAAGACCACATGACCTTGATATATCTGTGTCCGAGGTAGATATACTTAAATAATTTCTTTTACTTTTGATATATTTACTACTAACTGTTGAGCGCAGCTCCGCCCGCGTAGATATCAGTTATATTGCGCCAAAAAATAGCCGATTCCATCTATCTCTTTGTCACATTTCGCGCCAAAAAGTAGTCTATGTCCATTGTAGGGATTCCATCTCTCTGTTTGACACATTTTATTTAAATCGTTTCAGTAGTTTAGGCGTGATTACGTAACACACTGACAGAGTTCCTTTCACATTTATAACATTAGTAAGGGTTTTACTTGTGTTTCTCTCTGATTATAAGCAAATTAGGGATATCTTTAATTTTTATTTGTTTTTTTAGATATTTGATGGACCATTAGCCGACGAGCTACGATTAGACTCGGGTAGTGAAGAAGAGGAGTCTATGTCACTGGAGGAGCTCCGATCTATTCTGGAAGAATCAGCGGAAGACTTAGAAGACGATGATTCCGAATAATAAGAGAGGCTATTTAAATCTTTCGATTGGTCAAACGACTACACTACATTTACAGGCCAACCAGAGGAATATTCCCCAACAGGCGAGTGTGGCCCTAATATCAAAGGAACAGATCCTTTGGAACTGTTCACTCTTGTTTGGGATGACGACATTATGAAGGGAATCGTGCAGAGACTAACCAATATGCCTGGGATACAATAGCACCAGCATACGAATTTTCAGAAGGAATCTCGTCCCATTCCCGATTAAACGATTGGGTAGAAACATCAATTGATGAACTGTACAGATTCTTTGCAGTGATGATTTTTATCACTGAATGTCAGAGGAAGGGTATCTGAGTACTGGAGTACCGGTGTTCTGGGCATGCCAGGTTTACGCAGTCTAATGAGTATAAAACGGTACTTTGGCTTCTTATGCGTTTTTTGCACTTTGTCAATAATAATGACCTCAATAGCCGCGGACCCAATCGCAAAGTAGCTACAATTCAGTCCATAACTGACCATTGTAATAGAAAGTTTAACAGCATGTACACACCTCACAGAGAAATATGCATTGACGAATATTGATGCTTTTTAAAGGACGCTTGAGTGGGATCCAGTGCACCCGATCAAAAGCAGCACGATTCGAAATTAAATTTTTTGAAAATTTGGATAAACAATCTTCACAGGCAGAGGCTTCTGTGGTGAACTCCGTGTACGGGTTTACGAGCCCAAGTGCGAAAGTGGTATTAAGGCAAGGATTTTTTCACAAAGGTCACTGCCTTGTAATGGACAACTTTTACAATTCCGTTAATTTGACAAGATTTTTAAAGTTTAACGAGACTGATGTCATTGGAACTTTGAACAGGCGACGGATGGGGACACCGGTGGACATACAAACTATCAACGAAAAGAGACTTCAAAGAGGAACTGTGGTAGCTAGACACTGTGAGGATGTTTCTGTATTATCTTGGAATGATGTTAAGTTAGTAGCCACAGTGTCAACTTACCGCAATACGGATGTGAGGCCTGGAAGAAGAGCAAGGAAACAAATACTGAAGTCTTTGGTTATACACGACTATAATAAATACATGTATTTAATGGAGCGCAAAAGAGACATAAAATGGTACATGAAAGTATTCAAACGACGTGTTATTTATGTGTGAAATTGTGTATGTATATAGTCTGATATATTATCTATTAGTGTTTTTATTTATTATTGTTATTGTGTATTGTATCAATAAGTAAATTGATTAGATTTTACTCTTCTACCAACTTATGTAAAGCTCACCCTCTTTAAGAACGGTTAGCTGGTAGATAACTCAATTGTTGAGTTAAGCTCGCCATTTTATAACTTTTCGCAATTATTATATTGTATTAACTGTACAATAAAGAACGACTAATGAATGTTAGCATTTTGAGCACCCCTTATATTATACACCGTGAGAACATTACTAATCCCTCAGCCATAGGCAATTATGGTACAAATTGGCGGAGCAACTTGTTCAGAGATACTCAAATTTTGTGATACTCTGTGTAATAAATCCTCCTGCTCTTCTCCGATTAGATGGTAATAATCACTTCCCAATATATGCAAATGCTTTAGAGGATCGAGTAGGTAGCAAGAGCAATAAAATTAAATGGAACCGCTGCGTTCGTTACTCTATAAAAAAAAACGAAAGGAACTAAATACTATGTGTCAGAAGTGTCAGATATTCATGTGTCTCGGTCAATGTTGGATTGATTACCACACCGACGAAAATTTATAAATTATGTTTATTAAATTAACTTTTATATAATCATTTCACGTTTCCAATCCTTCTGAATTATTTTTCATAATTGAACCACATTTTTCGGCACCTTGAAATATCTAATTTCAATTCAAGTCACAAGAACGCTCGATGTGTGTCAAATTGATTATATTTATTGCATTGGCGAAATCTTAATGTGAAACTTTATTTTATACTTATGTTCGATTTGTTTTTAACCTAACACTCCAAGGAGGTTAACCCTCAGACGCAGCCCACTGAGTTTCTCGCCGGATCTTCTCAGTGGGTCGCGTTTTCGATCCGGTGGTAGATTCTGCGAAGAACGGCTCTTGCTAGGGTTCTTGTTAGCAAGGTCGTCAGGCTTGAGCCCCGTGAGTTCACCTACCAGTTAAAGTTAAAGTTAAAGTTACTCTGAAATAGCCTCTCAAGGCTATCAGCTTAGATAGGAAAAAAAGAAAAAAACCAAGGAGATGAAAAAAAAAATCGAATAACGATCATATGAAAATCGAATCCCACTTTTTTTGTTGATTTAAAAGAGAAGAGTAAACTTGCTATTTCTAATGACAAGTGCGTGGTATTTATTATATTTTGATTATCAGCAGAATGTGAAATTGCCTAAAATCCCAGCAGGTGAAGCATTTTATAAACGTCAACTTTGGGCATACAATTTTTGTATCCACTCAACGAAGCTACAATAATTGAGGATCTTGCAGCAAAAGGGAGGCAAGTCCAAATTTCAAATGTCAGGTATTACGAAAAAAGGGTTTTAGAAATTATTGGTTACACTTATGTTTAAGAGTTATACGGTATAATATAATACAAAACATATAATTTACACATTTTACTAAATTTTAAGTGAAATAAATAAGTTTTTGAATTTACTACGATTTTTTCAAGTTTAGATCTGCCTCCATTGTGCACCAAAGTTACAGAAAAATACTACTCTATCTTGCATTTTATATAATGAAAGACATTATTATAAGTATTTTTTTTATATCAACTACTTTAAAAAAAAGTTCAGAATAAAAAATAAAAAAAACCGGTATCAAGGTGGGTGGCGCATTTACGTTGTAGATGTCCATGGGCTCCAGTAACCACTTTACCCCAGGTGCGCTGTGAGCTCGTTCACCCATCTAAGCAATAATAAAAAAAACAAGCAGAATTAACACCAATCGAGACGTACTTAACCGATTTCTGATAGGTTCAGATCCACTTCTATCTTCCAAATCAACAGTGCAAAATAGAACATGGGAGAAGAAACTTACTCGACGAAGGAAGATGGGGAGAAGGTTATGCGAATTTTTTTTAGTCTAGAATATATTTAGGGGTGTAAAATATATTTCTTGTATATTTAGAACAAAGTTGCAGTATTAAAAATAATATTTTTAAAGAAAATAAAGAAATAAATGATTTTTATTAATAATTTTAGAAATACGAAATAACATCTAATATTAACATTTTAAGGCACGTAAAATTAAAAAAAAAAAAATCACGCAAGGTTGAATTAAGTTCTGCTAGATTTCGATAATAATACAGTGTGCGGCGTCCTCCGCTCCGTCCGACTCATCGGAAGGAGAGCCCGCCAGCGCCAAATATATGGCGTAGGCGGAAGGGCCGGCGACTGCTGCGGCGTCGTCCGCCACTGATTTAGACATTCGGTCTTCTCGCGGACTGGCTGCTGCCTCCTCAGCGCAGTCCAGGGCCGCCCGTCGTGAGGCCAACGAATTCATTAAAACCAGAGAGGTCGAGCACCTGGAGCGCTCCCTTACCGAGGTGGGTCCCTCCGACCCCCTCCGAACATGTAATATCGCACAAAAGTTAGTGTCTGCGGTAGTGAAGAAATCGGCCAAGGGCCTAAAGGGCGACTACGTGCGGGCACTAAAATCGGCCGCCTCCTCCCTGGAGGAGCAAATGGCGAATGCGGTAAGCCGCACCACTAACGAGGAAACGGTGGGTCTACGGAAAACAGTGGACCTGCTGCACGCCTGACTGGCCCAAATCAGTGCCGAAAACGATCGCCTTCGGGCGGAGAACGGACAGATGAAGGTCGACATGGCCGAGATGCGCACGCTCGTGAACGACCTTGTGGAAAAACAGCGCAGCTCGACCCCTGTCCCTCCTCCGCCCGAAGCGGAAAGCGAAGAGCTGAGGCGGCAGCTCCTTATACAGGAGGCGCGCAGCTCCACGGTAGAGCGTGCGCGACCGCCCCTCGCCCACGAGGCGAAGGGAAGTCCGCCTGTGCCGGCACCCCGCAGGAGGGTGCAGCCCGCTGCAAAAACATACAGCGGGAAGAAGAAAGCAACACCCGCGCGAGCTCCCGCTGCGGCTGCACCTATACCCGCGCCTGGGGGGTGCCGGCACCCACGGCCCCTGCAAGAAAACCGGCGTCCGCTCCTGCTCCGCCCCAACCTGCGAAGGCAGGGCCCGGCAGGAGCCGAAATAAGAAGGGGGGCGTCAACGCCGCCAAACCGGCACCGACTCCCCAGCCCCGCCCAATGCCCCCCGCCCCGGCTAACATGAATGAGGCCTGGACGACGGTGGTGCGGCGAGGGCCCAAAAAGGTTGCGGCGCCTGTCGCGCCGCGCACCAAGCCCGCTCCCCGCCAAGAGGGTCGAGCGGAGCCGAGGGGCCAAAAAGGAAGAGGCGGAGCACGCAGAAATGAATTCAGTAAGTGAACAACTTTTATTTTTCAATTAGGCAAACTCAATATTTATTTTAGGTTTTTAAACATATCGATTTTGCCACGGGAGTTGCCCTTCAGATGTCATGGATGTGTCGAGAAAAATGTACGACTAGATTTAATGATGAAGAGCGACTAGAAATCTTTTCATCTTTTTAGATTGGTAATATAAATCGGAAAAGGCAATATATTCTAAAGCTTAGTAAAACGAGTACCTACTCAAACAAATCGAACTGCTAACTTAGACAGTAAAAGGAAAATGACAAATAAATATTTCCTACTAAAAAAAGTAGGGCCACAGAAAAAGAAAAGGTATGTCAAACATTATTTTTAGCAACACTGAGTGTCACAGAAACATTTGTGAGTTTTGTTTCAAAAAACTAACTGAAACTAATGTTGTTGAGGCTGAAAAGCGGGGCAAACACGTGCTTCATAATAAAAAGTCTGAAGATACCAGAAACCTGGAAAGATAGACATCATTCTTGGAGCAGACGTGTTCGCAGAGATTTTACAAGAGGGAGTAAAGACTCTGAAAAACAATAACAACACACTCGTCGCTTAACAAACATTGGGATGGTTAATATCTGGGCATCATACAAACACTGCCAACAACCAGCAGCAGCGTCAGGATGCATTACATATGCACCTTCGCATATCAGAGAAGTGCTAGCAGCGTTGACGAGTCCGGTAGCAGCAGATAATGCTAACGTTTTTCACAGCCCGCGCCATTGATGATTTGCCAAATATCGAATGGGAAGAAGTCCAGATCCCCCACCGTCAAGGGGAAGCTGTTATTCAGGTCGCAGGTTTCCGCGCGCACCCTGACTCAGTTGTTTTGGAACGATAGAATTCCAACGCCAGTAGAACGAACAGGCAATTAGTCTCGGCAATGGACTCAAAGAAAGGATTCAACATCCAAAGTTCAATCGAACATGGAGAAGGGTCAATTCTTCAAACTATCCGCTTTCCAGAACAGTTCGATCCAGCTGAAATAGAAACGCTTTACTACACTAACGTCGGCGTTCCAAACTATGAAGAGCAAATCGCACCAGCTCTAATGCTAGGATTTGAATATGGAGTCCCGCGCTTCTTCATTAGAACTTATTAGAACTTATTAAATCTTATTTACCCGGAAGAATCCAAAAGGTAGACGTTAAAGGAAAGAGATCTTCTGGTGTCTTCTTACTTAATATGGGTGTTCCTCAGGGTTCCATATTGGGTCCCTTCTTATTTCTTGTGTATATCAACGATTTACCAAAGTTTATTGAAACCCGTCACGAGGTCGTATTATTCGCTGACGATACATCCTTATTGTTTAAAATTAAACGACAATTGGAAGATTATGACAATGTGAATGATGCTATCTCGCGCGTGGTATATTGGTTTAGTGTTAATAATCTGTTTTTAAATAACAAAAAAAACAAAATATATAAAATTTACCACACCTAATGTTAGACAAGTAGACACTAATATCATTGTAAGTGGAGAAACACTGGAGCTTGTGGAATCGACAGTTTTTCTTGGTACAGGGTGGCCCATAAGTCCTTTGAAAAGTAAAATTTGAATAAAACGAACAGGGCGCGCGTGAGCGGTGCAGGGGAAGCGGGGGGAGTAACTTCGGTTTCTGGGAATTTAGTCGCGATGGAGCGTTTTACCGGAGCGGACCGTGCGTTTTGTGTGCGCGAGTTTTATAAAAACGACAATTCGGCAACCGTTGCGCNGCAGAAGAGGGCTATTCGTGCTATTTATAATATGCACCCGAGGGAATCCTTGAGGGACAAGTTTAAGGAAATCAAAATTCTAATTTTAGCGTCACAATACATTTTTGAAAATTTATTGTACGCGCGTAAAAACATTGTAGAATTCCCCAGAGTCTACGATTTGCATAATGTGAACACTAGGAACAAACATAGGCTTGCGTTGCCGGCGACTCGAATTAAGAAAATAAGCAACTCTTTTAAGGGGCTGGGTGTACAACTTTTCAACAAGATCCCAAAAAACGTTCAACTACTACCTGTTCATAGATTTAAGAAAACTGTCAAGTTTCGAGAACGTTTATGCAACAAGGCATATTATAAAGTTAAGGATTTTTTACTAGATGGCAATACGTGGGAATGAGGCGTTCGCTCCTGGCCTTTTCATTTTCATTTTTCATTATTATTATTTTTTAATTGTATTTTTCGACTTTTTTTTTCGTATACTGTAAATATTTTTACTTATTTAAAAAAAAAAAAAAATTGAGAAAAACACAAAAAAATAGCCCGCTGAGTTTGTTTCGCCGGTTCTTCTCCGGACTGTGGCTTTTTTTGGAACCGGTGGCAGAGTTAACATTTTCATTTATATTTTGACATTCAACAAGTGTGTTATGCTGACATCCAAGTTGAAATAAATGATATTGAATTTGACTCAAGGACCGGCTACGACGAAAGTCTATTCCGTGGCACGGTCTGTCAAGAAGAAGCGATCAGATCAGTTATCTGGTCTAATGTGGAATAACGTCCACAACCCAGCCGGGGTATATAAATAGCAAGAATATTATATACCACCTAAAAAATAAAGTTCATTCCATGCTCCAACGCTTCTGAGAATTGGAGGAAATACCTGAATATAGAATTATGACCAAAGCTGAAACACAATGCGAATCACATTATGATAGAACACATTTAAGATGGTCGATACCAGGTTCTAATACCCTTCAAAACCAATATCTCTGATATCGGAGAATCACTCACAGTAGCCCAAAAGCGACCTCAATCGTTAAATTGTCCAAAATACATTACAATCCATTTAAAGAATTCATTGTATAAGTTAATTAAAAAAATCACTAAATGATAATTCAAATAAAGAATCAGCATGGTAAAAAGTAAAAATGTAAAACTTTTAATAAATTGAGAAAGTTGCATCCATTTTTAGATGAACAAGATGTGTTAAGAGTAGGTAGAATATGTAATGCTAGTTTAGATTTTGATATCAAACATCCTGTGTTTCTAAAAAATACATTAGAAGAAAGGATGTTGTCAGGGTTAATCAAAGGAATATTCATTATTTCTTGAACTAAATGGGATCTGATTGTGACCAATCAGCTTTGTGAGAGGTGGAAGGGAAGCAATAGGAATAGAATTAAGGGAATCAATAACTGACACGAATTGACAAGAATTGATCACTACCGCCAGTGGAAGAAAGGACAGACCAGGAGAGGAGAAGTTAAAGAAAGCAGTCTTTGGATTCTGAGATGGAGGAACTCTGCGAGTAGGGGTCCCGTCATTCAATAAACACAAATCTAGTTCATCACAGAGATCAAGAAAAAGAAAACAAATAGAATCACAGTAATAACAACCCCAAGATGTATAGTGAATATTAAAATCTCTAAAGATAAGGATAGGTGGAGGAAGACTTGTAATAATACTTTTTAATTCAGAGAGAAGAGCTAGGTTAGGTTCTGGGATATAGATGGATAGGAAAGAAATATTATGAACTCTAACAGCAACGGCAAAATTGCTATTACTGTGGGAAGGAAGGGATATTTGTTTAAATATCACATTTCTAGATACTAAAATATCACATCCAGCATAACCATCTGACTTTTCGTCCCGGAGACATGAGAAACCTGGGATCCTAAAGTTAGATCCAGGTTTAAGCCATGTCTCCTGGATAGCAAAAACAGAAGGTTTGTATTTATTAATAATAATGATGTTATCATTCTTCTTGTGACGAATGCTGTGACAATTCCATGGTAGGAATTTGTGCATTTTTAATAGTTTTATAAAGCTCAGTAAGTTTATATATGAGATTTTTCAGCAGTTTCAAAGTATCCAAGGCAGGGAAATATATTTAAAACTGTAGAAAGTAAGAGTTCCAGGAGATTATCATTGGCAGATACATCATTTGAAGGAGAGGCACTCCCATTAGGGAGACTAGAACGGGGAGCACTAATGAGTTTGATGAGCTTGCCTATCATAATGTGAACTGGATGCCGGAGCTGGAGGAGATTTTTGGGTAATATAAGTGTGACGGTACAAGACTGAACTGGATATGGCTTAGGTGTGGGGCTTAGAAGATTGGGGTAGGGTTTGGGAAGATTGAGTGAGAAAAAGGGGGGGGGGGGAGACGTACAAGAAATATCTGCAAAACTTATGGAAACCTGACTGATGCTTCGTTGTACGTGATATTTTCTTGTGACATCACCAGTTTGATAGGTTTCTGTCTAGAATGTTCAGGGCAAGATGTATCAATGTACTTATGGTTACCAGAGCAAAACAAACAAGTAGGTATAGGAAATAAACTATTACAGTCAATACCAGAGTGAGATTTCACACAGATAAAACAACACACCTTTGACCGGCATTGCGTAGCACTATGCCCAAACCTGCAGCAATTATTACATTGAATAGTTGGTAAAATATATGTCTGAGCTGGGAGGGAAGTGTAAAAAGAATAGACCCTATCTGGAAGCTTTTGGCCAATAAATGTTAGAACAACTGTCGGAGTTGGAGTCCAAATAGAAGTGTTATTTTCTATTTCACATTGTATGAAGGAATANACCTTTGACCGGCATTGCGTAGCACTATGCCCAAACCTGCAGCAATTATTACATTGAATAGTTGGTAAAATATATGTCTGAGCTGGGAGGGAAGTGTAAAAAGAATAGACCCTATCTGGAAGCTTTTGGCCAATAAATGTTAGAACAACTGTCGGAGTTGGAGTCCAAATAGAAGTGTTATTTTCTATTTCACATTGTATGAAGGAATAGTGACATTGTAATTAGCTGCGGCAAGACCTGGGTAATCTAACAAATAATTTGTGGCTACAGCAGTTTTGAATTCAACTGAGACTCGGTTTCGGCCGATAAGTTTAACGCCGTCTTTAACAACATCCTTGATTTCGTTATGTTGTAGGAAG